CCTTGACCAGAATCGAACCTGGGACCTTTCAGTCCGCAGGCCTACGCTCTATCCACTGAGCCAAACCGGTTAGGGCTTCCATTAATTTTTAGAGAGAGTAGAAGGGAGGAGAGATAGAAACACCGAGGTACATGCCCTTGACCTGAATTGAACATTCTATCCACTGAGTCAAACCACTCTATCCACTGAGTCAAACTGGCTAGGGCTCCTTGGACAGTCTTGATGATTTCTCCTTCTTGGCCTGGAGCTGCTCTTCACGGCGCTTGCAAGCTTCCTTGGTTTTAGACCTCTGGGCCTCAGCCTGGCCAGCCAGAAGCCACTTGCAAGCCTTGTCTGCTTCAGCTTGTTTTTGAATGTTACCCTTCACTTTCAGGTACAGGCTGTGGTACATGTGACAGTCAATCTTCTTAGGTTCACGGTATCTTCTGAGTAGCCGGCAAGGAATTCTCATCCTCCTCAACCAGGTTACTTTCTCAGCCATTTGAACATTGGCAGTACCCTTTTGCTTACTTATGCCCATATGCCTGCTCTTCCTGCAGGCCAAGGTGTTTTTCTGTCCATCGGGAATGGACAGTCACAGGCTTCCGGATGATCAGCCTACCTTTGATCAGCTTCTGAATCTACTGACAGGAGTTGGCATTGGCAATTTCATTGGTCTCCTTGGGGTCCAACCAGACCTTCTTTTAGCCACAGCAGAAGACACTGGAGGCAAGCCTCTTTTGAAGCCTGATCATACTCATGGCTGTTGCCATAGCAGCAAAAAGCCACTGTGAATACTTCTTGCTGTGGTGGGCTGCATATCTGGCGCTTTGGCCAAATGGGTCATGCTGTGCTGTCTGTCCCTAAAACACATAGATAGGAAGGTACTGACATCAGGCCAGGCCTTGAGATATGGTCTCATGGCCCCTTCCCAGCACGCAGGCCGCCTTTCTCAGAAGGCCTGGAAGTCTCATTCCAAATTTGGGAGACAAAGGACTGGAAAAAGTATAAATAGAGTTTCCTCCATATTGGGGGGCCCAGAATTTGAAAGACACATTTTTCTCTGGGCCTCCACAGAATTTAATAATAAAATGTAACCCCTCTACAGTGCTTGCTAGAACATTTTGGAACGGTTTGAAGCCTTGCCCTGCTGCATCCGGAGCAGGGTTATAGAAATTTCAGACAGTCGCAAAAAATAAAATAAATAAATAAATAAAATGTAACTCCTGCCCTAACCAGTTTGGCTCAGTGGATAGAGCGTCAGCCTGAGGACTGAAAGGTCCCAGGTTCGATTCCGGTCAAGGGCATG